TAAAGCTGCAGTAGCATCACCTGCCCACCAGAGAGCAGCCTATTCTAATGATTTGGGTAAAGACATTTGGTGGGGTTTGTAAGTCAGTAAAGAAGATTACATCTACAGTTAAAAATGTAAGTCAAGGAACAAATAACAGAATGCCATTTTATGATTTCACATGACCCAAAGGTCTGTCATTGAAATGTTAGCTTATACTCGGAGGAAGAAAAATGACTTAATTACATTTTTATCAAGAGTGTGACTTATCAATGCTATTACACATGGTTGCTTAAGGGTTTTGGTAACGTCTTAATGAATAACTCAAAACTGAAATCCAAACTATCCACAGCATGTTCTCTTAGTGTACAAATAGACACTTATTATGGCCCACATCTGAATGCTAACAGAGAAATGTGGTTTGATCAGATTAAGTCTTAGTGCAACGTGTAGCTCTAAATAGTGTGTTGTTTGTTTGTTGCTTTCTTTAATAAGAAAGTTGTTTTTTTACCATTAGTTTACTTTTCATATTGGCTGGTGTGCCCTCTTTACTTTCTGATTCATTCAAACAACATCTTGTGGCTTCAGAAATCAGTTTCCTCTCTCTTTTTTCTCTCTCCCGGTTATTTTTATATTTTGTTACTTCCCTCTGTACCCCTGCACCAGGAGGGAACGCAACACATATGATACACATTATTTTAAAGTAAAAGAAAGTGTCCCTTTTCTATGCTCAAGAAAAGGTGAGAGAAAAAGACTAACTCTCTATAAACACTTTAAATAATGCAGTTGCATCACCTGCCTACTAGATGGCGGTATATTCTAGCGGTTTGAGTTGTGTGTCAGTGAATAACATTACATTTAAAAATGTTAAAACTGTAACCCAATAAACAAATAACAGAATGCCATTTTATGATTTCACACATTCCAAAAGACTGTAATTGAAATGTAAGCTAATAGAAGGAAAACATAGATTAGATATGAGTTTTGATAATGCAAAACTCATCTATCCACAGAATGTTCCTTTCGTGTACAGATCACAACCTATCATTGCCCACATGTGACTGCTTTTATGGAAGCGTTATTAAGAGAAGCCACTGCAATAGCATTGACAGCAGTTACATAAGTCTTCTGTGGTCACTGGCCTTCGTGTTTTTATAAGATTAAGGCAAATATTCAAACATTACACCCTGCCCAGATTTGTGCTCATGTAAAAGCCGGTCACTCAAAGTGAAAAGCTGGCTGAGCTGGCTGGGATTTGTATAGACATTACCGAGATAAATGTAACACAAATGTCTAAATCATTCAGACCGGACAATGGAGTTAGGTGATAAGATATGTGCAGATATTGTGCCATGCCAGGGTTTTACCTCTGATGTGAATGTTTCTGAGCTAGATGTGAGTGCAACAAAAGTGTGACTTGAAAAAAATCTAAAATACGATTTTGTGTGATGGTGTGAATCCTTTAACTTTTTAAGGGTATGTGGAACAGTGTCTTGTTGGAAATGAGTAATCTCAGACATGCAGGCACTCGTTGGTTGCTGATAAGGAAGTCTCTTGTGCAACACACGGTCACTGTAAAAAAAAGCGTAACAACATTTATTCAATATGTTTTTTTTAATCTTTTGTTAGGTTTGCTAGGAGGTTTTGCAACTGCTGCAATGCAACTTCCCACGTAAAAAGAAAAATGTAATTTTTAAACTCAAAACTCAAATCCAAACTATCCACAGCATGTTCCCTTAGTGTACAAATAGCCACTTATTATGACCCACATCTGAATGCTAACAGAGAAATGTGGTTTGATCAGATTAAAGCACACACGAAGCCTCACCCTGATTTGTGTTAACTCATAGCAACAAGCTGCTTGAGAAAATGTTGATCTTATTTAAATAATAATACATGATTTTGTTGGACAGTACATGTGGTTATTTATGGACAATAATATGATGAAACTATTACAAATTAAATGTACAATGAATAAATGGAAAGCTTTTTTTTTTAGCAAAGACAGTTTTTTCTTGGTAAAGTAAAATGCCCTCCACACACAACACAAACACTCACACCGAAACAGTACGTCAGTGAAAACAGAAAAAAAGGGGAATTTTTGTTCATATTATTTGTGAACACTGCTCACGAGTAACAACGTATATGACATATTTATGTGTGTCATGTGATATAAAATAATAATATAGTACATCTAAATTAAAGTGTCCCATTTTATTTTCTGAAGAAAGGGTGAGAGAAAACCACCACAACTCGAAACACCATTTAAAAGCTGCAGTAGCATCACCTGCCCACCAGAGAGCAGCCTATTCTAATGATTTGGGTAAAGACATTTGGTGGGGTTTGTATGTCAGTAAAGAAGATTACATCTACAGTTAAAGATTGACAGAACAGAATGCCATTTTATGATTTCACATGAGCCAAAGATTTGTCATTGAAATGTTATTTAATACTCATGAAAAAAATTACTTCATTACATTTGTGTAATGAGTGTGACTAATCGTTGCAGCTCCACTTAATCTATTATACATGGTTGCTTAATGTGACACCCTCACATCAAAGGGATTTAGGGGCGGGACTAAGGTTTTATGGGGGTCATAAATCAATAACTCAACATGTCAAAAATACCAAAGTGACATAACATAAGCCCTTGTCTTACTTAAATTCCCCTTTAATTATTGAGCTGATAATGTTTATTCATAAGTAACATGTAAAACTTGTGTGTGCTTCGAGCTTAAAGGTCCCATGTCATGCTTTTCCGGTTATTACCCGTCCCCTTGTGTGTTATGAAGGTTTTTCTGCATGTAAACGGTCTGCAGAGTCACAAACCCTCAAAGTACACCCTGTAGCGAGTAAAACTCTAACACAGAAAATACCTTTCTATGCTGCCCCAAAACGCCTCGTTGGAGATTTCTCTTTTTCTTCCTGGGAAATTAAATGTGTCACTTAAAAGTCACATCTGCATGTACAGTAATTGCATGAAAATCTTCTTCTAAATTCCCCTTTAATTATTGAGCTGATAATGTTTATTCATAAGTAATATGTAATAGGTTTTACTTGTGTGTGCTTCAATCTTAAGTAGCTTATAAATGTTTCACATAATTATTTAACTACTATACTTGTTGTGGAATATTTTCCAAGGCCCATAACTTTGACCCAGTGTATCAGTTCAAACTGTACTGACTGAGCACAGGCACCTGTAACCTTGGCTGCTGTGCTCTCAGTGTTTTGTCTCCCTGTTCCTGCCTGTTGGCGTCAGCTGATAGAGGTGTTATCATTCTATCTTGTTATGCAGCATGTTGATGATGCTCTCTGAACTAGCTAAATACATGGGTCTGGGGTAGAGTTCTCCAGAATTGACGTGGCAACTCTACCGTGAAGTCAGAACCTCTGACTCTTGGACTTGTGATGTGAATCCTCCGGCCGTTAACTCCAAATAAACCATCATGTGTTTGACATCAAAGCTACTGCTCTTCCCGTGTCTCCTTCCTGAGTCGGTGACTCCCACTGCATAGCTACACAGAAGTTTCCTCTACAATACTCACATTAAATTCAGATTGGAGATTGTTTGTACATGTCCTTACCTGTTTATATTTTATTATCCATTTTGGGAAACTGTTTTGGCATATTGCATTATGCAACTTTGATACTTGGTAACATCCCCTTGATATATAAAAAAAACATTTATTTTATTGTCTTATATTATCCGTTAGAGGAGTTGTGTAGTGCAAATACTGTCAATTATTAACGCCACAAACCACATATGTGAAATTGTTTTTAACATATGTGTACACTGTTGCTGAATCTTTGAAACATTGCACCCTGTTTCCTGTCCAAAAGAGGACCAGAAGAGGTCACTTAATGTCTGCTTTATTGTGTTTAAAAAGGTTGTGGCTCTTTGTGGATAACAATGTACCACCATAAACAATTAAAGTAAATGTCACTTGAGCAAATCATTCAAACTTGGTAGATCACACACACACACACACACACACACACACACACACACACACACACACACACACACACACACACACACACACACACACACACACACACTATAATTACTATCTTTGAAAAATGACACTTATACTGTATATCTGCAACAGACAGCAGGACAGTCACTTACACTACTGTACATATTTTTACTGTTGAAATATATTCATCCTCATTCGTTTAGAAGTGACTGTTATGGTATCGACTGTTGTGCTTTTTATTGATGCCTCTTAATGTGTGCATATGTAGAGATGTGTTTATGTTTCATTATGTATATACAAGTGGGTGTACACATGTGTATCTATGTATACATATATATTTTTTTTATTCCTCTGGTATGTGAGAAACAGCATTTCGATGTCCCTGTCTGTATCATACAAACAGAAGTTTGACTATCAAGTTGACATTGACTTATTTTGGAGAAAATTGTTGCTAAGTGTTTTGTCAAATGATATAAAATATTTATTGAAGTATAAAAAAAGTTAAGTTTTCCTTTTTCAGCAAAGGCTGGGCGAGAGAAAGTGACGAAACAGAAAGGGACACTAAAGTCTAAGAAAATACCAAGTTGAGAGACAGCATTGCAGTTCATACAGAAACCTCTAGATGTCAATAAGGATCAGGATTCGTTAGAAAACATTTAACCAACTGACAAATTTAAATTCCAATATGGATGTAAATGCAGCTGCAGGATGTCTACCAATGTCTTATCAATGTTTTATTTGAAATCCTCCTCACTACTTCCTGGAAGAAAGGAGTTGCATTTGCAGTGCTGAAAAGTAAACAAACACTCATTTGAACAATTGCTTTATAAATCTAAACTGAAGGCTCATAAAGGTGAAACAGTGGAGATGTGAAATGTTAAAAATAAGGAACATGCTTCTGTAGCTTGTTGACATGCAACAGAGCTGGTGCTTATTATAAATGTGGACACTTGAATTAAAATGTCCACTGTGTGATATGCTCATGCCATTAGTGTGTCGCCAAGAAACAAGTCAAACAGGTGTCAAACAAAGCGAAAGGCAGAAGAAACGATACGCAGTCACAGCAACCTCCAGATCGGAGTCTGCTGATTTACAATTGTTTCCAAACATGAGTGGTAAGTTAAGATGACTTATTCCATAACTAATAATAATAATATTATAATGTTTTCACAAGTTTGGGTCCATTTTCGAACAATGAAACTTAAATGCCGAAATTATGTTCTATCTTGTTAGATAACAATTCATTGTGATACTCTTTTAAAAGGGTAATTTCATAAGGTTGACTATGAAAGCAAATGAAAGGAGATAAATAAAACAAAGTCATGATAAAGATCATGTTTATTTATTTGTGAGTACCAGCATTTTAAATAATACAAAAATAGATTTTAGGCGAGTAGATTATTGATGAAAAATACCCATTGATGATGAATCCTGAATTCCTTTTTACATTATTTTGTGAAAACAATAAAAAACTATTCATATTATTTCAGTTTCAAAATGTATTATTATTTATAAATAATATTTTATCTTTCAAAAATCTGTATCCATTCAAACTGCTTGTTCACAAATTCTACGCAAAAACCATCCACTACACAGACAGACAGATACAACTATTATATAATACTGTATTACATTTTATATATATGTATTTTAGACATATTTTATACATGCGTATATTTGTCAAAAATATGTAGATGTAAGCCTACTCTGAACACTGATAAAGATAAGTTAGCATGCTGATATTGTCATCACAGCTTTGCTATTTTTGAAATTCTTTGCTCACTCTATATCTCCTGCAAAAGCAGTGAAAGATATCATAGAGTCATTACTGTCTTCTAGATTTAACCAGAAGGATCGTGGTTTTGGGAAAAACTGGAGCTGGGAAGAGCAGCCTCGCCAACACCATCTTCGGAGAGACTTTGTTCAAGATAGACGATTCGGCCAATTCAGGAACACGTGTATGTCAAGCAGAAACCAAACGTGTCAACGGGACAAAACTCACGTGGGTCGACACTCCTGGGTTTTTCGACACAAGCAGACCTGAGGAGCAGCTGAAGTCTGAGATAGAGAAGTGTATAGAGAAGTGCGCTCCTGGGCCTCATGTTTTTCTCATCGTGCTTAAAGTGGAGAAATTCACAGAGCAAGAGAAGGACGTCGTCACAAAAATCCAACAATGTTTCTCTGAAGAAGCTTTAAATTATGCCATAGTTGTCTTCACACGTGGTGACCAGCTCCCTGAGGGAATGACGATCGAGCAGTGGGTCGATCTGGATCCAGATCTGAGGAATCTGGTGAAGAAGTGTGGGAGACGGTGCCACGTCATTGATAATATTAAATGGAAGAAAGACCAGACGGATGAATACAGGAGCAACAAGTTCCAGGTGGCAGAAATACTCAAGACAATAGACAGGATGGCTGGTGCAAACAGAAAAAGCTGTTACACCATTGAGAAGCTACATGCTGCATATGGGTCATGGGCTAATTGGTCTGTCGGGGTAACAGGGGTAGTAGCTGGTATTGCAGCTTTGGTGTCCATTGCTGTTATTGTTGCTAAAAAATGAATATCATGACAAAAGACTAACTGCAGCATTAGGGCTGTGTAATGTCAAGAATCTGGCAATACGATTCAAACTTAACATATTGCAATATTGTAAGCAGGGTTGCATATTATTATTTTTGTATCTAATTTGAAAGAATCCCTTAAAATTAGATAAGGAATTAAAATTATTTCTACTCTTATATCATATATTTTGTAACTTGCAACTTGCTTTTTTTTCCATCATCTATTTATCTGCCAAAAACAGTGAAAAATGGCAGTCATTATTTCTCAACATAAGAACAAGAATATGAACCATGATAAACTAAAATGTGTCTTTACCGAGTATCAAAGACCGATGAGAGTAATTATGAAATGCATTTTATATAACTTTAGTATATGTTTATTAGAGAGACGTCTGACCTGAGAGTTGAAGTCTTACCATTAACATTTGAAAGCATTGTAAGTTTAATGTGTGACTCAAATATGTTGACAAGTATATACAGTGCCAATCATTTGCTTGCTTCCCTTCCCTTTGTATTATGGTGAATGCATTTGATTTACTGTATCCTTTAGTATTTATCATAAAAATACAATTATGAATTATCCGATTATCCCATCATGATCTGATGTGGGCTCTCCATGATTTCTTTGATTCTGTTTTCATTGTTTTCTTTTGTCATAACTTAATCAAAATACAACAATAAATTAGTAATTTAATAATGTGTTTTCAAGTGGATTTTTTTATTATACAATCTCAAAGAGGACTTATTATGCTCATTATCAGGTTCATATTTGTATTTGTTGCCTCTTCTGTCACATGTCCCGCCCCTAAGCCTATCACGTATGTGTTGGAGCGCTAGCCAATAGCTTACTTGTTACATAGTGATGTCACTATGTTCCAGAAGTAAATAAAGGACACCAAAGGAGGCGTTTCAGGCAGGCGGGGAATGTGTGAGAGAGAAACTCCCTCTGGATGTTAGCCTTTGCAGACCATTTACATGCACTAAAACCTATATAGCACACTATAGGAAAGGGAAAACCCCGAAAAACATAATAGGGCTTCTTTAAGTCATCCAATGAGCCGAAAGGACCTCATGGTATTAGAAAGGCTGATATTCTGCAACAAACACTACTGGTTTGTACAGATTCCCTGTTTGTTTCCTGCTTTATGTTACTATGGAAACAATCTGATTATACATATGATGATTTGTCACAATACTGTGTCAAAAGGCTGCCACACCGGTGCGAGTCAAATAATCAGCGACTCATATTTAAGCATATTTAATTAATTCATTTGTGTTATGTAAACATTTGTGGTTGATCATTGTTTTGTATTGATGCAGTATATTGATGCCTGTGCTTGAATAAAATAAGTGAAATGTGAGTGGATCATTTTATCAGCTGGCAGCCGAGGAACAAGTCGGACAGGTAGAAAAAAAAAAAGTTAAAGCAAGAGGTGAGTCAGAGAACAAAAGAAAACCTCACAGTGGAGACGTGTCCCGGATCGCAGTCTTTTCTTTTGCTAATAATTCTTCCTTTGACAGCATGGACGGTGAGCTAAGCTTCATATTATATTTAAATATTCTATTCAAATTAAAATGATTGTATATTATATATGAATCGGGCGCCTACTCAAATCTCAAAATCTTAACTCCTCCTTTAAACTATGTAGAAATGATTAGAGTTGTAATATATTTTAGTTTATTATTAAGGTTGTTTGAGGCTATTATGTCACTTTGATAAAATACACTCTGACAGTTAAGCCTTATTTAACTGTCAGACATTAACACATTAAGCCTTATTTATCTACATTCATCCCACCGAGGCATTGTGGACTAACATGTCATGTGAAAATGTTTTATCTTTCAGTATCATTTAAAAAAAAGAAATGTGACAGGTGTGACAGTATCCATTATTTAATTATCTTTTGCTGCCCCAAAAGTATCTCCTCAAACACATCTTTAGCTGCACCTGTTCTCATTCAAATCTCAAACCAAAACTCAGCTTTTCAGAGCTACTTTGAATGTGTCATTAATATTGTGTTTTATATTTTATTTGGGTTGTTTTTAAAATTGTAAGGAATTTTACGTATTTACATGCATCTGTAAAGTCTCTTTGAATACCTTTAAATAAATAAAAAATATTATTATTATTGGTTTATATTATTACTATTATTCTCAGAACCTGTCAGTCTCCAAAAAATATTATATTGGTAAACATGCAATTTTGATGTGTGAATTTGTATTTATTTTTAAAGATATTTGTTGTGCCAGAGTGCTTTAATTAGAGATACAGAGTTAAAGGGTGAGATAGAGGGGATGAAATTGCGTGAAATGTTCAACAAATTAATTGATTAACTGAGTCACTTTTCTAATTTTAGAGTCAAACACAACGAGGATTGTGCTGCTCGGAAAAACTGGAGTCGGAAAGAGCAGCCTTGCTAACATCATTTTGGGAGATGCCAAATTCAAAATTGACCATTGTAATGACTCAAAAATGAAATCTTCTTCAGCAGAAACCAAATCCATCGATGGACGAAGCATCACTTTGATCGACACTCCTGGTTTCTTCGATGCAGGAAGGTCTGAGGAGGAGATGAAGCCAGAGATGGTGCGGTGTCTCACAGAGTGCGCGCCTGGGCCCCATGCTATTCTCATTCTGCTCAAAGTGGAGAAATTCACAGAGCAGGAGAGGGCTGTGATCACTCAAATGTTTCAGTATTTCTCTGAAGACGCGCTCAAACACACCGTAATTGTCTTCACTCATGGCGACCAGCTCCCCGAAGGAAAGAAAATAGAGGAGTACGTAGAGCAAAGTGAAGGTCTGAGTGATCTGGTGACCAGGTGCGGAGGCCGGTGCCACGTCTTCGACAGTAAATACTGGAAGACCAATGAAGGGGACGAGTACAGAAGTAACCAGTTCCAGGTGGCAGAGCTACTCAACACTATAGATGGCATAGTGACGGCAAACAGTTCAGGCTACTACACAGACGAAGCTATGCAAGAGATAGAGAGAGAAATACAGAAAGAAGAAGGGCACATTAGACAAGCATCAAGAAACATGCCAGAGGAAGGGATCAGAAAAGAGGCTAAAAGCAACTACTTAAAGAAGCAGGTGGACAACGCACCTCGAACATGGTTTAGAAGTTTTATTCGATACGCAGTTATAGCTGGAATACTTGCAACTATCTCAGCTGTGTTGATCAATTCAAAAATGTTTAAGATATTTAGGGTAGCACCACAGGATATCGAAGTCCCAGCAACACCACCACTGACAGAGGTGGAGACAGAAAACGATGGCACAGGTTCAGATTCTCACCCAGTGGTAGAGGTAATACAAAGTGCATTTGAGTACTTTGTGGAGAAATACAATGCTTTGTTTGAAAGAATGTACAATCCTTCGAATCCATTTGAATGAACACCAAGGCAGAATCAAATGAAAATCAGCAGAAGAGATTGTCATTGATGTATAGAAGTTGCATCCAGCAGATGTACATTTATTTCAATCATTTTTTAAGCTATAAGATTTAGTAACTTAAGGATGAATTCATTTGGCTATTTTAGATCTTACCTTGTGATGGTGTTTGCGTCTTTGCTTTACATTTTCGGCTGGTTCCTGTCAACTGAAAAGATAATTACTTTATAACTTGTTTTGATATACTGAGAAGGTGCAAACAATTTTTAGAAAATGTCAAATACATGGAAATGTATATTTTCCTTACTCAGTTTAACTTATTATCTTCAATCTACATGTTGTTGTTTGGGCATGGGTCATGACTTTTAGAATATGTCATCTATACTGTTTTTTGACGTGTCTGTTGTGAGTTCACAAACTTTATGAAATACAAAATCAATCTGTACCCTTTAATAATGATTATGTTTTGTTTGAATATGTAACACTTTGTTTAAAATGTTTTATGTAACAATAAACGGCTGATTGGTAAATGTTCTTTTTCAGTTTCTGTTTTTCATGAAACCATTCACAGGTGCTGTCAAAGGGTTGATGATACTCATACATTCTAAAAATAAACCAAATCCAAAGATGAATTGCAGATATTGTCTGAGCCATAGGGCTTCTTTGTTGTCCAAAACTATACAAAACAATTGGCTGACAGTTTTCTTTGTGTTGCTGAACATAGGCAGTGTCATTAATTTGAGTCAATTACCATCCTGTTGCTATCAATAGTTACAAAAGCACCAACTAAGTATGACATGTGCAAATAGTCCTGAATCCATGCACTATTCACTCTCCTTTGTTGAATGTTTGATAGGAAAGACTGCTGTAAAATACTGGGCCTTTTTTTAATGAAGCTATTTCCTGTTGAATTTTGTTCTGAAATGTAATTCGCCTAAACGAGCTCGTGGCTAACTAAAAATGTTTTATTTTAATCGGAATTTTTCCAGGACCAAAAAAGTAGCAACTGTAATTCTAACATGATGAAAACAAACGTAAACCTGTTATACAATAATAATAGATACTTGTTGTGTTGGTCGAAGCCAGATACAAAAGGCCTTTTTGTTTTGAGTCTGCGTAGATGTATTGTTGTTTCCCAGAAGTCAGGTGGATGCTGCCAATAAAACAGATAAATACAATTCCATTCAACCTGTTGAGTTTCACTAAGACAAAAACACTCCACCTTTAAAAGATATGTAAAGGTACAGCTGCCGTCCTCCCTTTTCTCACGAAATATAAAGACTACTTATTCTGTATGTGATGTTGTTTTAATCCTTTAGCGGTGGGAGATTAGCGGCTTTGAAAGCAGTGAATGTAGTTTGTGAGGGACCCATTTCCATAGTGACAATCATGTATTTCGTTACAATTATATGTAAAAAAAAAAAAAATTATATTTGGCCTCAAATCATCTGAGGCCTGGCGCCCCATTTTTTCAATTTTAGTTTTGGTACTTTGAGTATATTTTGTTTTTACATTTTCATTGCAGGCCTTTTATACTTGAAACAGAGTATTCCTAAACTCTGGTACTACTCAAGAACGAGATATGAGTACTTCTCCCACCGTTTGTTTGTAAATGACCCTTGATTAATAAAGTTAAAAAAAACCTCTGATGCTGAATGCTTGCAGAGGTGCATGAACTCTGCAGCGAACACTCAGCTGCACCAAAGCTAACAGTTCTGCAAAAAATAACAAGTATGTGAAGTGTCACAGCTAAGACCAACCATAAACACCTGCCACTGAGTCACCTGAGTGTATAGTAAGAAAAGTGAATACCTTTACACGACGTCGGAGGGAAGAAGCTCAGCGATTGGACCAAAGTCAGTTCTGCTGCTCAAAATGATTGGATCTGCTGAAAGACCCCCTCACGACCCCCTGGTGACATAACTACTGCAAACACTGCATGGAGGTAAAAGTAGAAGTGTGTAGGAATACTCTGATACAAGTAAAAGTCCTGCATTCAAAATGTTACTCAAGTAAAAGTACAAAAGTATAAGCATCAAAATATACTTGAAGTATGTAAAATTACTCATTATGCAGACCGGAGTACTTAAGTAAATGTACTCAGTTACTTTCCACCACTGACTGTGCAACCAACCAACCATACATTTACACAAACGTGTACTAAACTAAGTAGATTTAGAAGTACTTTACTTAAGTACTTACTTGAATATTTCCATTTTATGCTACTTTGTACTTCTACTCCACTACAATTCAGATGTAAATACTGTACTTTTACTCCACTACAGTTGTGTACCTTTAGTTACTTTGCAGATCTAGATTATTGATAAACAATAGGATCATCACTTAAATCAGACTTTAGTTACACCTGGAGTAAATTCACAAGCTACCTTGAAGTAAATTAATTCAAATGAGTTCCACCTCTGATTTTAGATTTTTTAAGAAGTACTCAGAAGTACAATTAAAAGTGCCAGAGTGCAGGAATGCTCTGTTACAAGTAAAGAAGTCTTGCAATCAAAATGTTGAAGTCTGCTCTGATTGGTTAGCTGGCTGGGTCTGTGAGGTGTATTTTTTTGATTATTTGTACAAATATTAAATGCCGACACAACTGCACTGTTTCTGGTTCTCTCTTTTAACAGAACACTTGTAAGCAAACACGTGTTGACAGTTTTAAGTACCATCGGCTTGTATCATTTAATAAGTAAGAGATGTTACTGCTCAGGTGCAAGGACACACCTGTAGCGTTAGTCACAACGCAAACAGCCAGGCGTGGTTTCTTAAAGATTGTCTTAAATCTCAAGAACTTATTGGCTGTAATATTAAAGAAAACACACATACACTAAAACATCTGATAGTTTTGCTACAATTTACAATTATAATCCTTTAAGTAGATATAAATCTTTTTTCTAAAGTATGACCTTTCAAGCAGGTTTACAGTTAAAGCTCCGCTGCAGTTATCATAAAATAATGTTTCATCCCTTAAGACTTGAAAATAAAGTTCTGGGTATGCCATACATGTTAGTTCATATCATTTTTTATAATAAATCAGTTTATAAGTGTTTTGTATTTGTAAGAGAAGTGGTTCTATTATCCACGGATTAATAGATGAGGTATTTGGGAGTTTCCATCTCGTGATATGTATTTGTATTGGCTGCGGTTCAGCCTGCAGAAAGCACCCTGTTGAACAATACTGTCTGTTGTGTAAGTACTGTCCCTTTAAGAGTTTGAGTCCAAATAAAAGACAGCAATATTCTGGCAAAATGTAACTATAACAGAGATAAGAAAAAGCAAACTGGAGCATTCAAATAAGACTGAATAGCAATGTTTCACTGGCAATATGAAACTTGGTAATATGATGACTAGAGAGGGTTAGAACATCGTGCTATTTATAACTCATCTTTGGCACAGCAGATCATATCTCTGAATGTTGGAACATATAAAGCTGTATAGACACACAAATGACACAGCCCTTGAGTGTATTGTGGCCTTTGCTGGCCTTTCGTGTGGGCGAGCAAAGTACATTAAAGCAAAAACTTTAAAAAAGAAAAACAAGAGAGAAGATCAGCTGCTCTGTAACAGGACGATCGGCCCGTCATAATCAAGGTGTCAGGTGACACTTGAGATAAGATATGTACCTAGTCTTAGACGGCAAACTTTTGTTTTGTTTCAAGGTAATATATGCAACGGATCTGCACAAATGTCTCAACCCAGATCTATTTGGAGTCCTGGAGACCATCTGCTTAAAAAATGTTTTTGTTCTGATATCTAAAAAAATATGTTCTAGCTTATATCAAACATGTTTTGACTGACGACACATCTCAGAAATCTACACAAATGAAGCATTACTTCACTGTGGGGTCCGCAGATACACAATTTACTTTCTATGCGTTATATGTGATTGTTGTTGTCAGTACTTTTTATATCGCACTTCCCTTCAAACATCCCAAGGTATTTACATTTATGTAACAGGGTTTGCTCTGATACCTCTCGGTGTGTAACTGAACACATGATAACAAACTGTACATTTCTATGTCTGTGAATGACATTATGACAAACAAGAGGAACCCTTTTTGTCATACATGCCCCATTATATCACACGCAACATAAATACATATTTATTTAGTTTGATAGAAATGCTTTTAGGTCCAATCTGTGGCAAAGGGAAGGTACAACTTTACTATTTTTTACTAGTACTAGAAAAAAAAGCAAGTTAGTTTTCAAATAGCATTTATTTTATATTTGTATTGTATGTACAGTATAGACCCCAAACAAAAAGTGCGTTTTGTTCAGATTTGTTGTATTCTTTTTCAAATAATTAAGCATTCTGTCCGTTTTTTCTTCCCGTTTAGTATTACATAATCCATGTCTTCTCTTCCACTGCAGGGTGGTAGCCACTAGGGGCGCAGTGCATCCACCAGCTGCAGACATTACAAATACTGCCGCACAAATCTGACGCTCCAGATGTGTGTCTTCACCACGGGGTAAACTATGGATGATTTTGACCAATATCCGGTTTTCTTTGAGTGCCAGACCCTTCTTCAGGATCAGATGAAGAAAATAGAGAATTATTTCCGTGTTCGGCGCAGATCAGGCGGAGGAGACTGCGGATCTCTGCGGAAAGTGACCGATCAAATCTACAGCATTTCTTTTAAAAATCAGAAAGGTAGGCCATGAGACAAGCACAATGCTTATCAGTGATGTTTTCAATTATATATAACTGTTAGATGTCTGTTCTGTTAGAAGCAGCCTATGTTTAAACTATAACATAGTCCATAACTGCGTCAACTCATTGATTTAATTAGATTTGCCTTTATAATAAAATAATATTTACTGTCGAGAGTAAACATATGTCACATATAATATCACTCATATAATATGATCACACGGATTCAACATTGATTCCAAGATCCGAAGGTAAACAGGGAAACCCCCTAGCTTCATTTTCCCGAAAGTGAAACTTAAGACCTTCATGACTTCTGCCATTATGAGGTTGGTGCGCGTGCGCGTCCGAATATGTTGAACGTTGTTAAAATGATTAATACCTATATGAACAATTTGGAGCAGTAATCATCTGAAAAAAACGTTTACAATTCATATTTGAACTCTGGACCAGCTGGCTATTAAATTAGAACCAGCTGTTGTCTATATTGTCTATATCAGAGGTGGGAGAAGTAGGCTACTCGGATCATTTACTTGAGTAGAAGTAGAAGTACCAGAGTGTAGGAATACTCTGTTACAGTCAAAGTCCTGCATTCAAAATGTTACTCAAGTAAAATTACAAGTGTTAGTATCAGAATACACTTAAAGTACTAATAAGTAATAATTATGCAGAATGGTCCATTTCAGAATAATATATGTCGTATGTCTTGATTATAATTATTGATCATTAAAGTGTTCTCAGAGCTGGTAAAGGTGCAGCTAGTTTGAATGACTTTGTATACTGCAGGGTAGCTTGTGAATTTACTCCAGGTGGAACTAAAGTCTGATTTAAGACTGATTATATTTCAAATCATTCATCCAAATCTGTAAAGTAACTAATAGTATTTAATAAATGTAATGTAGTAAAAATACACAATGTACCTGTGAAATGTAGAGGTACAAAGTATCTGGAAATGGAGATACTCATGTAAAGTACCTCAAAATGTTACCTAAGTACAGTACTTGAGTAAATGTACTTAGGAACTTTACGCCTCGAACTATATTATATTGTTGTCATTATCAGTCATGTTGAGATACTGTATTATTGGAACACACTGTGTTGGAGCGGGATCAAGTTAAAGTAAAGTTATTCTATTCTCTACCACAGGGGAAAAAGTGTCCTGTAGAAAGTTCAAATTGATTTCTACATTACAATTAAAAACACATTAAATAAGAAAACATATTCAAACATAAACCTGATATTTAAACAAAACGTGTTACCATGTTATAGTTAAGACATACATCTACAAAATATACACATATTATATATTAAGTTCAAGTTTCACTTTCTCATATAATAATGTGTGCGCAAAATAATAGTTCACTTTCAGCTTTTAACATAAAAAGAAGTTGGAGAATGAGGAGAGTATGTAATTAGGTAAAGAAAATAGAGGATAAAGCAAAACTAATACAACCCTCATCCCTATTTTCCTAGTGTCATCAAAGAAAATGCATATTTTCTTTGTTTGTTAATTAAGGAACTTCTTTCCCTCTAACCTCACAATAACTCTTGTCACATTTTATTTCTTAGACCAGCAGGCAGTCCTGCAAAAGTCTGTTCATGATGTGGGGGATCTGGTGATCACTGTCCGAGACGGCCTTGAACTTCACACATCCTCTCCAAACAAGAATATGACAGCCCCGGTACAGGTATGCACAACATTTCAAATATGTAATTCAAACAACAATTATTTTTTTCCTATTTATAGTCCCCCACTTAATGTAGTTACTACTTCTACATTTGAAGATATGACCATAAGTAAAAGTGTTTAAATGTATATGACAACAGTCCACTGCAATATTTGAATTTCTCTTTTCAACACAGAGCCCACAGTCGATTCCTGTCTCAATCCCTCCATCAAGTGGTGAAAAATACGAACTACAACAAAATACTTTCCTCCTTCGTTACCTAAAGGAATGTCCCACAGCTGGGACAAGATTAGAGGACGATCTTGCCTCATTGTCCTGCTCTGCTCAGTTGTATCCAGAGGAAGGGAGGGTTTTAGTGAGCCTTTCAACTCAACCTGATGATGAAAATGATGTTAGAGATTGGAAAGCAGAGGTTGACAAACTCTTTAATGGCTACCTGTGCCACTGTGAGGTGGACCCTCACAAAGTTGTAGCTTTGCTTGAGTCCAGGAACTCTCTTCAGACCACCAATGACGTTAAGGTCTACAGCGAGAATGGGATGGCTGTTGTTGTTGGGCACCGTTCTCAGGTGAACGCCAAGTTAATGGATGTAGAAGCCTTGCTTGGTAAACAAAGGCCACGGTTACTTGAGAGGCAAACTTGCATTTGTCGACTGGGCGAGGCTAAGCTCCGCCTCCTCTGGAAAGAGATTGAGCACACTTTGCAAAAAGACTTTCCAGGAGTGAAGGTCACACAGGGAGCTCCAGGTCAGTTGCATTTGGAAGGTTCTGTCGAGGATATTCTTAAAGCTAAAGATCGGATCTCTGATCAGGAGAAGTTGGTGTTCAAAAGGACAGTTTCTGACATGAGCCCACATTTGTTGGCCTTTCTAAAGAAGGCTTATAATGGTCCTGGTGTGCTAGGGGACTTTTTAGGGGTTGCTGGCAAGGTGGAAGTAGAGTTACGAGACACAGAGCTACGTTTCTTATCCCTTTCTAACAATATTCTTGTTGAAACAGAAAAGGCACTGCAATGTGAGATTAAGGAAGTCAAGATTGATGTTCCTTACTGCTCTGCTGTGCCATCTGAGCTTCAGGAAAAGCTTAAGTCTGAGACAAAGGATATGAACCAAGTGCAACACAGAGCTCAGGTTGTGTTTGGCGCAGACAGCAGTGTGTGCTTACTGGGCCACACCAAAGAGGTTGAAGACCTAAATGAAGTTGTCATACAGTTTATTTTGGATCAGTCTATTGTGCAAAGTGTCGTCAATCTGCCTTTTGAAGAGTTAGTGCATGAGTTACCAGAATTTCTGCAGCTCCATGGTTTAGATCATTCAGGGGTTACCTTTAATCCTTTAACATCTTCCTCTCGGCCCATGGTGGTGCTGGAAGGTCCATCCAGCAAAGTGACTGAGGTAAGGAACAGGCTGGGGCCAATTCTGGACTCCCTTGTTCAAGATAGACTCCCCATTGATAACAGAGTAGAGGTGAAGTACCAAACAAGTACTGAAAACAGGGCACCAAGTGATCTGGGGTTCCAGATGGATGCTTCTGGCCAAGATGGAGAAAGAGGAGCCACTGCTGGAGCTCCTGGAGGGGGTGTCCGTGTAGAGATCATTCAGGGAACCATCGAGACCCAACAGGTAAGAGAGTAAGCTGTGATTTTAAGAAAATGTTTCAATTCTGGTTGTTGATACCATTTTGTGACGATTAGCACAACGGTTTCTGACAAGCCGTCAAAAGTAGGTTTTTGGGGGAATAGTCGCAACCTTAAAAATGTTTAAAGCGTAAATGCATATAAACACCATAAGTAATACATTCAATGAGAAAAAACATATTCTGCTCTCCTCTCAGGTGGATGCCCTGGTATCGCCCATGGTTTTCATGATCCTCTTTCTACCCGTGTTGGAAACACTTTGTTCCAACATTTTGGAAACCAGCTGACTGCAAGGTTTAGAAAGGAAGCAGATGAAGAAACGATTCCTGGTGACACAGTCCTGGTGGAGGCTCGAGCTGGACAATCAAATGCAGTCATTTTCCTCAACCTCGCTCCATGGAACGAGGATCCGGATGGAGCTCCAGTTGAGGTGAAACAGAGAAGTCCATTGTCATTTTTTTCTTCAGTTTCCCACACCATGAATCAGTATTTATTTTGTTTAGTCTTAATAATACTGTCTGTCCTTTTCAGGTTCTGAGAATGGGCATTAACAACATCCTAACTTGCTGTGAGGATAGAGGGTTTGGATCAGTTGCCCTGCCTGTACTCGGCGCAGGGATTGCCCTGCGTTTCCCTGACAGCCTGGTAGCGAGGGTTGTCCTGGAGGAAGTTTATGCTTTTGAACAGAACCGAGCCAGCGTGAAACCTCTCCTGGTCCGCATCGTCATCCACCCCGAAGACGAAGACTCTTTGGAGGTAATGGATATAAGTTTGACTTTAAACACGATGCAAACAGGGCAACTATCGTCTAAAAAAACTTGCTCTATTTAGTGTGTCAAAAATATTTTTAGAAATCCTACATGTTTATACGAAAGGATGACATGTACATCTCACAGTCAATTGTTGTTAATCAGTATAATGACATGTATTTCTTAAACCATTGAGCAGTAAACACAAGCTTACATTTTATATATATATATATATATATATATTAAACATATATATATATTAAACATATAATATACTGTACATATATTAAACATTTCGTCTTCCTTGTCTCTGCAGGCCTTCAAGTCTGCCCAGGAAGCTTCCCAAATCAAAGGATTCACAATGAGGATGAACCAGCATGCACAAGGTGAGTAAATATATCATGACAGATGAAGCAAAGAATTGGAATTCAGTACTGCGGCATGTTTTTCTTTACTGGTAACTAAACTAAGCATTTGTGAAACTCAAACGTTAGTGGTAAGATGTGTTCATAAGTTCATTTGTTAGCAAATGACTCTAGTTTCTGCAAATTATGCACAAAATAAATAGATAATAATAATTCATTTAATTGATTAGAGCGCTTTTCCAAGTGCTCAAAGCGCTTTACATTACCTATTACACATATCAGACATGTAACAGTTATTACTGTGGACATTACCCAGAGGAGCAAATGAGGGTGAAGGTCTGTAGGTGTATTCGTTTTATTGACTGCTGTGATAACTTTATCACCTTGTTATAGATACATATGCAGTGTGTTTCCCCACTTACATCCTCCAATCCAATCCAACTTTATTCATTAAGCACTTTAAAACCTCCAGACCAAAGTGCTGTACAGAGAGATACATTCAATATAAAATCACACAGCTCAGCTAACAAAACATAAAATAAGTATAAAATCACATAAAAGGTACGAACACAAATCAAACCAGAATAAATGCAACAATTATACAATTAAAATAAAAACAGCCATACTGTATAGTAAAAACAATAGACCACTTAACGCAAATAAAAGCATCAATCTACTTTCGAATGCTAAGGAGAAGAGGTGGGTTTTAAGACGGGATTTAAAAACAGACAGTGTGGCAGCCTGTCTGATTAGCAAGGGCAGGTCGTTCCACAGTTTAGGGGCGGCAGCAGAGAAAGCACGGTCCCCTCTGCGCTTAGACTTTGTTTTTGGCACCCTCAGGAGCAATTGATCAGCTGACCTGAAAGTGTGAGTGGGCGTGTAGCTGTGTATCATGGCAGATATGAGCAACCTCATGTAATCTTTAAGTAGTCATTTTGTATTTAAACCAAACTGCACACTATGTTTGGGTTACTGTTTCCCAAAAAGCCTAAAAAAAGCGACTCTTTGAAATGTAATTAATGCAAACAAGCAGGAGGCAAATGTACTGAACATAATTGTTATGTCTTTAGGTCCAACTCCAACAAGGATTGTCCTGCTGGGGAAAACTGGATCAGGGAAAAGCAACCTAGGAAACACCATACTTGGAGAGGAAGTGTTCACCACAAACAATTCTCCCAACTCTGGAACAAGGAAATGTCAAGCAGAAACCAAAACTGTCAACGGAAGAAGCCTCACTTTGATCGACACTCCTGGTTTCTTTGACGCATGCAAGTCGGAAAAGGACATGAAGCCGGAGATAGTGAGTTGTATCACAGAGTGCGCTCCTGGGCCTCATGCTTTTGTCATTGTGCTTAAAGTGGAGAAGTTCACAGAGCACGAGCAGGCTGTCATCACTAAAATATGCGAGTATTTCTCCAAAGAAGTTTTCAAATATGCTGTGATTGTCTTCACACACGGCGAACAGCTTGAAGGGAGGACAATCGAGGAATTTGTCAAACTGAATAAGAATCTGAGTGATCTGGTGAAGAAGTGCGGCGGCCGCTGCCATGTCATGGATAATAAACACTGGAAGAACAACCAGCAGGAAGAATACAGGAACAACCAGGTCCAGGTGAAGGAGCTGCTCATCGCAATAGACAATATGGTGAAGGACAACAATGGAAGCTTCTACACCAATGAGGTGTTTCAAGAAGTGGAGAAATACATTTGCACAGTGGTGGAGGAGTACATCAAACACGACACGTCGTCGGGAAACGTGCCATTGGAAGAGATCAGAAAAGAGGCTAAATCCATAGTGTTTGAGAGGCTGTTGATCCAACTGGCAGGTGCAACAACAGGAGCATTGTTAGGCGCTTTTTGTGGAGTTGCATTTATGGTTGCGCTTGTGATGATAGCCCTGCATAGCGCCGGAGGATTCATGAATGTCCTGAAACAGATGAAAGCATTGAGAGGGACTGCAGCAGTTGGCGGAGGAGGAGGCCTGGGAGTTGCTGGAACAGTTTTAGCTGTAGCTAGCGCCGCAGGGTTCGCTGTAACAGGGGGAGTGGCAGGTGGAGCGATAGGACTTAAGGCAGCAGAGGGAGCTAAAACACCAGGGGAGGCAGTCGAGATGTCATATAATGCTGTCATGGAAAAAGTAAATGATGTCATAGAAAAAGGGAAAGGTCATTTCAATCTGAAATAACGACCTTTGGAGGGCGTGTTTCTGGTTCTTTAGCTGCTCAATGCACTTCTATGTTCATAAGCAGGTAGAGAACAGTGGGTTTATCACAACTTTATGAATAAAACCACTTACCACTGACGCTAGAAACAAGCTTGATGAGAGTAAGCGAGAGTGGTGGAAAGTAACTAAGTACATTTACTGAAGTATTGTACTTAAGTACTTTTTTTAATTGCACTTTACTTGACTATTTCCATTTAACACTTCTTTATGCCTATACTAGATTTAAGAGGCAAATATCATACTTTTTATTTTTTGGTTACTTGGTGTATATAAAAACTCTTGATTTGCTGATATGATATAATGCAGTACTGTAGTACTAATCAACACAGTATTTCAAGTATCAATGCTAAAATACTCTTACAGTATACAATAATAATAATAATAATAATAATAATGAAGATATCCATTCTGCATAACAAGTACTTTTACTTTTGATACTTGAAGTACATTTAGTTGATAATACTTTTAATAATTGTAGTTCTGAAACGGGTCATTGTGTAATATCAGTAAAATATAAATAACTGACTTTTATTTCTAGTGGAGTATTTTTTAAGACATAAGTGTTTGTACTTTTAAAGTTTCTGGCTACTTTTCCAGCAGTGATTAGCGGGTCAGAAAACCTAAAAAGGCTGCAAGAGTTAGGTAATAATTATTTGTGTGTTTGACGCTAAGAGTGACAAATTATACTCATGCAACTTGATTCATTGTTAATATTACACAAATGCATAAGGGAATAATATTTAGGCACTGACGAACACAACTTGATCTAAACAATACAAGCATAATAGGTGGAGGTAATCGTTTATTTTAAAGCTTCTAATCTCTGTACTCATTTGTAAATAAAGTCAAAATCGTTATAATATAATATAAGTGGGCTTATGCAATCTATATAAATATGTTCATACTGCATTTATGTTCAATTATCTGACAGTGGAGTTTTGAATCTGGTGTGTTTTGAAAATGTTTTTCTATATCATGATGCAACTATGTTCTGTTATAAATCTGTCTTTCAACAATAAAAGCAGTGATTGCACACAACCTTTCTCATGTGTCCATTTTGTTTGACTAGTCATGGTGAAAGTACATTAATTTCAAGTACTGTGCTTCCATAAATTCCATTTTCTGCTGCTTTGTTTTGTGCTACCTTCAAGAGACAAATATCCTATTACAATTCTATGTTAACTTTAAAACAATTCAAATAAAAAATACAAACTGTAACTAGCAATAGTTGTTCAAATTCAAAAGCTGCTTGGCAGTATATAAAAAAAAAACGAAAACTCTTCCGACAGTACCAACATAAACGATAAGAGGATCAATCAATATGGAAGAATTATGATAATTCACTTAGTTATTTAGAAATACGCTTGTGTGGGAGAGAGTAGTAGTTCTACTTTTTGTACCTCAATTACATTTGGATGCGAATACTTTTGTATGTTAAATCTTGCATGAGGGACTTTCACTAAATGATTTTTTATTAAAGTATTTTCTACACCGTAAAATATTATTATTACTTTTACTTATAGGTTAAACATCTCAATTCTATCTCTGTGTGTTACAATGTGGCTGAAGGCCTGACTATTGAACCCTGCACATACAAGCTTTGATCAACAGGGGGCTCTCTAAAGCACATTACACTTTAATATAGGAGCACTCTGGTGAGGTCGACAGGGTCAATAAAAGTTGGAGGACTTTGACCCTTGATCCTTACACTTCACTATCCAACCTTCTGGTGAAAGCAGGGAGTTTCTAAGTATTTCAATATAAATAAAATGCGGCAATGCTCCTCTCTTTTTATGAAACTGGCAGTCACTTCAATGGCCTGAAAAAAAACAACATCAGCAAGAGAAGCAATGTGGAGTAGAACTGGACTGGAATCAGTTCTGCCGCTCAGTATGCCTGGAGCGTTTCTGGGACTGTGAAAAGGAGAAGGGAGAGTCCAGCTTCCCGCAGTGCAGGGAGACCTTCACACGGAGGCAGAGTTGGGTAACGCGTTACACTTAAATCTTGCGTTACACTTAAATCTCAAAATTAAATCTTACAAAGTAACGCGTTACTGTAATAATATTACTTTTGTCGGTAACGGAGTAGTGTAACGCTTTTATAATTCAGTAATCGCACTCCAGCCTGAGGCCTACTCTCAAGACCTTCACCCTGAGGGCTTCTCTTAAGACCTTCACCCTGAGGCCTTCTCTCTAGACCTTCACCCTGAGGGCTTCTTTTAAGACCTTCACCCTGAGGCCTTCTCTCTAGACCTTCACCCTGATGCCTGCTCTCAAGACCTTCACCCTGAGGCCTTCTCTCAAGACCTTCACCCTGATGCCTTCTCTCAAGATCTTCACCCTGAGGGCTTCTTTTAAGACCTTCACCCTGAGGCCTTCTCTCTAGACCTTCACCCTGAGGGCTTCTTTTAAGACCTTCACCCTGAGGCCTTCTCTCTAGACCTTCACCCTGATGCATGCTCTCAAGACCTTCACCCTGAGTCCTGCTCTGAAGACCTTCACCCTGAGGCCTTCTCTCTAGACCTTCACCCTGAGTCCTGCTCTCAAGACCTTCACCCTGAGGCCTTCTCTCTAGACCTTCACCCTGATGCCTTCTCTCAAGACCTTCACCCTGAGTCCTGCTCTCAAGACCTTCACCCTGAGGCCTTCTCTCTAGACCTTCACCCTGATGCCTTCTCTCAAGACCTTCACCCTGAGTCCTGCTCTCAAGACCTTCACCCTGAGGCCTTCTCTCAAGACCTACACCCTGAGGCCTTCTTTTAAGACCTTCACCCTGAGGCCTTCTCTCTAGACCTTCACCCTGATGCCTTCTCTCAAGACCTTCACCCTGAGTCCTGCTCTCAAGACCTTCACCCTGAGGCCTTCTCTCTAGACCTTCACCCTGATGCCTTCTCTCAAGACCTTCACCCTGAGGCCTTCTCTCTAGACCTTCACCCTGATGCCTTCTCTCAAGACCTTCACCCTGAGGCCTTCTCTCTAGACCTTCACCCTGATGCCTTCTCTCAAGACCTTCACCCTGAGGCCTTCTCTCTAGATCTTCACCCTGATGCCTTCTCTCAAGACCTTCACCCTGAGTCCTGCTCTCAAGGCCTTCACCCTGAGGCCTGCTCTGTGGAGGAACATGCTGGCGGAGGCAGAGTTGGGTGTAACACATTACTGTAATAATATTACTTTTGTCGGTAACGGAGTAGTGTAACGCGTTACTTTTATAATTCAGTAATCACACTACAGTTACTAACATTGCCCCGACACGCGTTACTTTGTTACTTTTATAAAATCAGTCATAATCACACTGACAGAAAAGAGGGGTTTCCCTCCAAAAGCTGTTATCCACTGCTGTAAACACCACGTCAAACCTCAACAAACACCTGCAAAGAACACATGCTAAGGTGAAGCTAATAGCTAAAGACCCCCGAACCCAGAGTGAGGATGTTGTGAGTGCGCCGCCGCCGACTCCGAAGCAGCAAAAATTTGAATTTGGAGGACCGGTAACCAAAGCAGAGATGGACAGGCTTGTAGCATCCTTCATAGTAGTGGAAATGTTGCCCATTTGCACCATCGTTCAGAGATAGACTGCGCAAAATACAGATAGCAGGAGACAGAGGACAGCCATGGTCAGATAGGAAAACATTCAGGAGCTATCTGGATCAGTCTTATGCGACAATGGAAACTGAACTAAAGAGAACATTTGAAACTTTAGCAGTCTGCGTGATCTGCCTGTAGGGAGGGGCGGGCCGGCCCTACGAGTAAAGTAACGAGTAAAGTGACGAGTTACTTTATGTAGAGAGTAACGAAGTAGTGTAATGTATTACTTTTTAAAAAAGTAATATGTAATATATTACTTTTTTTTAGTAACGACCCCATCTCTGGGCGGAGCTGAGGGGAGAACTAATCCTTCTACTTAACTAATACTACAATGGCTACATAAATGCTTTCCCATACTTTTTCCTGTAAACAAATACAAAATGAAACCCCTGTAACAGTCCTCTCCCTGTTTTAGAGTTACCATTTATCTCCCAATCCCATTGAGAAGTTCTTGTTTGTGAAATGCAAACTTGCAGAGAGATTCGTAACAACTACAAATAGTCAAAAATCATATATACGTTTTGGGGCATTTTGCATCTGCCCAGGGCTCCATTGTCTGCACATTTGCAAAAACAGTAGTACTGATTGTGGTTATAGTTGTGGAGGTAATTCTGTTTGATTTGATTGTTACAAAACCATTTCAGTTTCAGAAAAGAAGGCTGAGATCGAGGTAAAACAAGAGCCTGAATCCTGTATGACTAATAAGTCTTTCCATCTTCACACTCCTGTTTAGCTTGTCCCGACATGTCAAAATGTAGTTTTAATTGTTGTAATTTGGCGCCAACCCTTCCAGTCTTGCAGGTAATAATCATTCTTTCTTTCTTCCTTCTATAATTAACTGGTTTAAAGTCAAAAGGCGGTCAAGGAGAGCGTCCAGCTGAAAGAGAGGGAGATGCAGAAGCTGAACCAAGCTGAGGAAAATGTGGAGGTTTGAAATGTAGTAATGGTGAAATACTGAGGATAATTTGAACAGGAATAACAAGTATCCTCTGGCTATGTTTTTAAAATCAATACAGTCAGTATTATTACTAGGGCTGTGCATCTTCACTGGTCTCACGATTCGATTCGATTACGATTATCCTGTCAACGATTCGATTCAATTCGATATCCCGATGCATCACGATTCATACCAATGTGTTGCATCCTCAATTTTCTATATTACTGCACATGGCTTATTTTTCATCAATGCATACATGCAGTAAATACATATGAACTCTCTTTTTATTATTTAGAAAGTGCTTCAGAAATCAATAACATAAATGTCTTGACATTAATTTATAAACCAAAATAAATGAATTGTATAGGTCTAGCCTCCCTATATCTGTGTGTGTTCCATCCTCAAAAACAAAAAACTGCAGTGGCGTCATCTTCAATGCGACACAACTCACAAAACACACACAACAATGGAGGATGTGGAAGCGATCGTTTACTATCACAGCAAGAAGGAAAGTGATCACAGCAAGAAGGAAAGTGATCACAGCAAGAAGGAGCTAGCCAGTCGTGGCAACTACTTTCCACCTTGCACCAGGGACATTGGTGGGGTGAATGCTGGCTATTACATCCTGGGAGACAATGCCTATCCCTTGCAAAGCTGGCTCTTAAAACCCTTCCCAGACACTGGACGGCTGACAGCAGAACATGTGGTATACAACAAGAACATTTGCAGCACACGGGTAGTGGTTGAAAACGCATTTGGTAGACTGAAGGGAAGGTGGCGTTGCCTCATGAAAATAAATGACTGATGTGAAACTTGTGAAATCCATGGTGCTGACATGCTGTGCTCTGCACAACCTCTGCGTGAGTCATGGAGAGGACTATGATGATGGGTGGAATGCACCAGCAGCAGCAGAGCCTGGGGTAGCAGTGGCTCATGGGGCAGAGGAGGAGGGCACTGACATCAGAGAGGGTTTGATGCGCTACCTGAATACCTAAATATGCATTGTATTGAACATAAATAAATCTTTTTTTTTTTCATATACATGTGTTTGTCAAATATTTTAAACAAATATTATCTGAATTGAATATTTAGTAAATATTTGAAATTCAAGCACCAGTAAGTACTGCCCCATAATAAGAACATTTGAGGAAATATCAGATCATAAAAAGAAAATCTTTCTAATAAATTAAGCGAATATCAAAGCTAACTATAAACATAAATACTAAAGTGTAAAACACAGCAAAACTATATTCATAAATGCAAGCGTAAAATAGTGTGGACAAGTGTAAACATGGATGGAGGCTAAAGTATCCACAACATAAAATAATATATTAAAATATAACCTCAATCTTTCTTCTAGACATGTTAAAAGCTTGCTTGAATGGGTTATAGGTTTATTTTGTTCTCTCGTCTTTGAAATATATAAGGAATGTGTTTGAGTCTAGTAGAACGAGGGATTACAATTGAGCAATTTCTACATGTATTATGTATTTATCATGTATTCTTAATACTATTACAAAATAAACATGTAATAATGTTTTAGAGGAGGACCTCAAGCTAGCAAACTCAATTTCTTGCTTTAAATCTCTTAAAACTAACTTATCTTATGGGCTTGTTCCTAACTGATGGTGTTTGTTATTGCTTTATAAATTCATGTATGTTTATATCTTCTCTAAATCAAGATTATGTGAATCTGATTTTTTTCTGTTGGGTGCAATTCATTATCAACAAGAGATAAGATAAGTCAAATAAGTACTTTATTGATGGCAGTATAAAAATACAAAAAAAAGGGTGTATCAAAAAGGCATGCCATTAAACAATATCAATTAAAAATTAAAAACTGTATTGCAGCCAGCTTAAACATACATGGCATTGTAAAAATAAAAATAAAATGAACATTTTAAAGAACATAAATAAACAAGAAAGTACAAATTTAAAAATTAACTAGAAAAAAAATATATAATATGTACAATAACTATTAAGGTTATTTTAAGTTGGACGAGGAGGAGACGGGCCACGTCGGCTGCCCAGTCCCCCTAGCACCTCGCCAAGAGTGCGCAGGAAGGCTAGGTTGAAGGTCTCTGTTTGAGCGGCCTCCTCCCTTCTCAAGACGGCCTCCTCCCTTCTCAAGGCCGCATCCAACTCCCATCTCCGCTTAGCAGACGCTTTGTCCAAGTGCCGTTCCTGCTGGGCCATGTGCTGTTCATGGTGCCGTTCCTGCTGGGCCCGATCCTCTCCTCCTCGTTTCCTCTTGCCTGGGTGACAATAAGATAATAATTAGCAATAAGGAAAAAACACTGGACAGGTACAGGACACACAAGGATATAAGAATAACATGTATAAACAGAACAACAGTAAGGTGAACTAAAGAAAGTTCTGGCCCTAGATGTTTACAATGATTGTGAAAGTGAATTACATTATGTCCAGCCTGTTGATAATGAATATAAATATATCTATATGATTGGATGTCACACACAACTGTACTAGCTGCTTACTAGCTAAGACTTTACTTGTAACAGAGCATTTCCACACAGTGGTATAGCTTATTTTAATTACTGACGATGGATGATCCAAGGTTTAAAAAAACAAAACACAATTCCAGTCGTTTTGCCATTTCTATTTCGTACCTAGAACCACACGCTGCGGTGTCGTGATGGCACTCGGTGTTGGTGGTTGAGTCGGGTTAGGGTCTTCGGCTGGGGTCCGTTCTGGATTCAATGACGATGTGGAGGGAACACTGCCATCACCCGTTGTTCGGGAATGTTCCTCCTCACAAATCCCAATGTAATCATCTAGAACAGCCAAATGACTTGTTAATTCCACAAACTACTGCAGCACAATACTAAATAGCAACAACAACTATAGAAAAGAAAAACTGAACGTAAACAATGGCACATATGGTGTTAGCAAACAATAGCTCTAGCTAAGGCTATCTGCCTTAGCTAGCTATGTAGCTCTTCGGGGCTCCATAAAAGCATGGGTTGTCGAACATTAATGTAAGGATAAAATAGACTTCTTTGTTAGAAGTGAGCGTACCTTGCAGGGACTCCAGTAAAGCCCTCCTGTTGTTGTTGTCCTTTATTATGCGATATTCACTCTTCATCTTTTTCAGTTTTTCCCTACACTGCAGGAAAGTCCTCGAAAATCCGCGTTCGGACATCTGTGCAGAGACATCCTGGAACACTTTTACATTTCGCGTTGTTCCGTCGAGCTCCTGCTGGATTGTATCATCCCCAATGAGATGAAGGAACGTCGTCACCTCCTCGGTCGACCACGGTGTGCTTTTCTTATTAGACGTAGCCATTTTTGTAGCTCCTCCGTTTACAAAATGCTGTTTATAAAAATGCTGCAAGCTTGCTTCTAAATATATATGCGACGCTAGGGATGAACTCGCGCGCGATCTTGTGACGATTCTCTCTGACCAATCAGCAGTCGAGAGTGTTGACGTCACTAGTTCAGCCCTGGCCCTGGTCTGATAGAACCACGATTTTATGGGGCCGGAAAAGAGGGAAAAAGTACCCGCTAGCCGGTGCTAGGCTATATGGAAAGGCCACCAAAAACTGGCCTGGCCGCTTGAGGACGGTTAAGGACGCTTAAACGGGGCTACCCGCTGCAGTGGAAATGCGCCATAATACTACAATGGCTACATAAATGCTTTCCCATACTTTTTCCTGTAAACAAATACAAAATGAAACCCCTGTAACAGTCCTCTCCCTGTTTTAGGGTTACCATTTATCTCCCAATCCCATTGAGAAGTTCTTGTTTGTGAAATGCAAACTTGCAGAGAGATTCGTAACAACTACAAATAGTCAAAAAATATATATACGTTTTGGGGCATTTTGCATCTGCCCATGGCTCCATTGTCTGCACATTTGCAAAAACAGTAGTACTGATTGTGGTTATAGTTGTGGAGGTAATTCTGTTTGATTTGATTGTTACAAAACCATTTCAGTTTCAGAAAAGAAGGCTGAGATCGAGGTAAAACAAGAGCCTGAATCCTGTATGACTAATAAGTCTTTCCATCTTCACACTCCTGTTTAGCTTGTCCTGATATGTCAAAATGTAGTTTTAATTGTTGTAATTTGGCGCCAACCCTTCCAGTCTTGCAGGTAATAATCATTCTTTCTTTCTTCCTTCTATAATTAACTGGTTTAAAGTCAAAAGGCGGTCAAGGAGAGCGTCCAGCTGAAAGAGAGGGAGATGCAGAAGCTGAACCAAGCTGAGGAAAATGTGAAGGTTTGAAATGTAGTAATGGTGAAATACTGAGGATAATTTGAACAGGAATAACAAGTAGGGTTGCCAACTTCCAGAAATGGAAAAACGGGACACATGTATGTGTCCCCGGCGTGCGCGCGTGTACGCGCGCGAAGATTTTCGGGTTTCTGGCGGATTTAGTTACTTTTTTTTGTTACTTTATTTCGGTTTTAGGGTTAGGTTAGGGTTATGTTACTTAATTATTTTTTTAATTATGCTGTTTCAGGTCGTTTTCTCCACCGTGACTTATTGAAAACTCCCTCCGACACAAGGTGCAGAAGACCCGAGACAGATCTCCACTCACGGGCTTTACCCAACTGTATTTTTCTTCCCACTGTGTGTTGTAAGACACAAGTCTTTTCTTTTTAGAAGGGCCAGGGCCCAGAACCACATCCTCTCTCTCTTCTCCTCTTTCATTATCACCTCCACCGGCAGCGCTCATTTTCCCGCACAACTGAACAGGCTGACATGCCACACACAAACAATGATGCCGCGCTCGCGAAAATCTCACACACACAAACACACACACACACACACACACACACACACACACACACACACACACACACACACACACACACACACACACACACACACACACACACACACACACACACACACACACACACACACACACACGCGTGCGAGCATTGTGCCTGCCCTGTCAACTGAGCGGTCCTAGCGCCCTTCGCATACAGCACACAAACACACAGGCACGCAGCCAGACACACTGCATTGCGTGCAAACAGAAACATATTTTTTCTTTTTCCCTTTACCGGGAATCCGGGACAAACAAACAATGTCCCGTACGGGACACGCCCCTTTTGGCTCAAATACGGGACGTCCCGGCTAATACGGGACGTCCCGGCTAATACGGGACGGTTGGCAACCCTAATAACAAGTATCCTCTGGCTATGTTTTTTAAATCAATACAGTCAGTATTATTTATTACCCAATAAATGAGCACTCAATGTCATGTTCATTTGGCTCTTAGTAACCAAAATGTACTTTCATCTGAAAAGAGGACTTTGGACCAATGAGCAATAGTTTATTTTTCTCCTTAGCCCAGGTAAGACACTTCTGACATTGTGTCTGGTTCAGGAGTGGCTTGACACGAGGAATGCAACAGTTGTAGCCCATGTCCTGGATACGTCTGTGCGTGGTGGCTCTTGATGCGCTGACTCCAGCCTCAGTCCACTCCTTGTGAAGCACCCCCACATGTTTTAATGGCCTTTGCTTGACAATCCTCTCAAGGCTGCGGTTATCCCTATTGCTTGTGCACCTTTTCCTACCACTCATCTTTCTATGAATATGCTTGGATACAGCACTCTGTGAACAGCCAGCTTCTTTAGCAATGACCTTTTGAGGCTTACCCTCCTTGTGGATGGTGTCAATGACTGTCTTCTGGACAACTGTCAAGTCAGCAGTCTTCCCCATGATTGTGAAGCCTACTGAACCAGATTGAGAGACCATTTAAAGGCTCAGGAAACCTTCGCAGGTGTTTTTAGTTTATTAGCTGATTAGAGTGTGACACCGTGAGTCTACAATATTGAACTTTTTCACAATATTCAAATTTTTTGAGATACTGATTTTGGGGTTTTCACTAGCTGTAAACCATAATCATCAATATTAAAACCAATAAAGGCATGACATATTTCACTTTGTGTGTAATGAATCCATATCATATATGAGTTTCACTTTTTGAATTGAATTAATGAAATAAATTAACTTTTCCACGATATTCTAATTTATTGAAATGCACCTAAAACAGCTTGAGCTAAATGTATTGCTGATGTTATACAGCCTTGTTTGTCCTTTCAATATTTAAGATGTTGCTTTTCAAAAATTGCTTTTCCCTACGAGATCTATCACGATTTATCTTATATTATCTTATTTAATCTTATTACACAGCTTAATTTAATACTCAATTCTGATTGGTCAGTTTGGACATTTCAGAGGTTAACAGACCGGTTGCTAAGGAGAACAGACCGATGCTAAGGAGGATCAAGAGACCATGTGCAGGTCATTTCTATCCCCAAAAAAGATGTCTGGTCGACATCAACTGGACAACATGTCACTAGTTTATGAGTAAAAAGCAAGTAAAAGTATCAAAAATAGTACAATACTGGTAAATGCATACCTCTGGGTTTCCACATACTTTTGTAGGGTTGGTTTGCTACCACTTTGACACAATGTGGGTGCAATTCTAGTTTGTGTGTGCTCAAAGCGGTGCTCTGCATGGCTAGATAGATACCATTAGGGAGAAAAAGACTAACCCTTTAACTCGACACACACGGATGAAATTCCTCCGTGCCTGGGCAGAGGCAGGCCAGGTAATGGGGACACACCTTCCCCTAACACAGCACTACATGTTACAGCAAGCATGACAAATCAATCACAGAGAGAGAAACACAGAGTAAGAGAGTGGGTGGGGGGAAAACGCGGGGAGGAAAGGGTAAAAAGAAAAGGGAGAAAACATTTACATTAGCAAAATATTCAGACTTCTTTTGGAGCTCCGTGTCTTCTTTCTTCACCTGGCAATTACTGTGGATAACTTGAGGTGAGTCTGTTTAAATGTCCTGCTCATTCCTGTTTTGGTTTCTGTCACCAACGACAGTGTGGTCACAACTGCCAACAAATCACGGCAATCAACTGTGTCACTGCAAATGTTGGCGGAGAAACTAGAACATTTTCGTAAGGTTTACTCGCATTCTGTTTTGCTTTAAATTGCTGTATATTTTTGAAGTTATAAAAGGTGTTTTTCATAGTCTTTGCCATTATTGCCAGTTTCGCCTGAAGGCTGAGATTTCTTCAAATTGGAACGACATGGCAATTTGTGTAACTAAACCTGTATGTAGTGTTGTACAATTGTGTTTTTTTGTAAGCAGAACAGGTGCGTTTAAGTAGGTATTTGCGTGAGTCACACAATGCACACAAACACACCTTTTGAGTCCGATTTTATAGTCTGTGATTTGGTCACTAAGGGGAGCTCTGTTTGTACGAATGACAATAAAAAGTAAAGAATTGGGGAAGAAGCAAACTTTTATTGTTTGTATTGTAAGAAAACCAAAGGCCGAGATGATTCAGTATGACAGTGTCACCAACTTGATGGTGTCGTGTGTCATTTTTAGGGCTATTGCACAATATTACGCAGTTTCACTCCTGGTGCTTTGATGCCACTGTCAATGTGGTTTGACCGGCTTTCTGTAAACACTGCCATGTGGTTTATCTTTGTCTCTCTTATCCTTTGAAAGTTGGGGGGAATTCTTCCATTAAACAATATTTATTTAATGCGGTAGAAAATAACATTTCAATTGAACACTGTCACATCATGAGCGTTACAACTATACATTATTTTAAAGAAAAATAATCTTGAATGATTCACTGTTGACAATGTCAATATGTTTCTAAGTTTAAAAAAGCTATATAGTCTCTAGCTACAACGATTATTATCATGAATGCGATATTGCTTTGAATTATTTTAACACTTGGACATTTCCTAATTTATTAGTGAATTAATCTTATTGCATTTTATTTCGCACTCTTTTTAAATGTGGTCAATTAATGAATTGACAAGAATCTCACTTAAAATAGACTGTTTTTCATTTGAATACCAACCGAACAGACAAATAAAACCCCAAAGAGAGCTAAGGGCCAAATTGTTAAAATAAAATAAATAAATAAACTTTTACAGCAAGGCGACAGTCCTCAAGGTCCTGCCCTCTTACATATGATAGAAATGTAGGCTATAGGAGCAGTTTTTGAAAGTAAATGTCTCTAAAACTAAACAAATGTCTGGTTGTCAAGATTAAATATATAAAAAATATTGAAAGGTTTGCTTTGAAGATGAGGGTGTGATTATTTTATTACACACTGCATAGTTTGAGTGTGCGCCTAAAGGGTGTGCTCCTAAAATAATACTCAAGATATGTTGAACAAGTGATGACATGTCACTTTTGAAAATGTTTTCCAGTAACATGAAACAGGTAAAGTACAAATTGTTGCACGGCAGCAGCCTACATGATCAATACAGAGCGTCTGTTGTACGAACTGTTTAAATATCTCCT